AACAGTGAATAGTAACATCAGCATTTGGTACCGCTTCTGAATGACTGAAACATTTGCACAATCTGTATCAAGTGCTTAAAAGGACAACGACAGATTCAGATTATGAATCATTTGCATTACCTCTGTTAACTAACCCAACTTAACAGAAAGCATTTGGCAATGAAACATGGAGCTTATGAAATACTGTTTGCACAAAAATGTAGGACTACAACTACAACTTAGCGCGACCTTTAATTTTGTCATGTAATTGGCAGAAAGCACCGGGATGGGAAGAACTTTCATTGTCATGTAATTGCCTGATCTGATCTGAGAATTGTGAGCTGAAAGTTAACCTCACCCACCTGGTGTGCCGTGGTTGAGGATGACGATGTCGATACGGTCGTTGCCGATGGGCAGGTCGACGAGCAGGGGGCTGAGGTGTGCGTAGCGGCCGGCGCGGACGCAGAGGGTGGTGCGGGTGACGTCCCTGCTGGCGCCGAGGCGGCACGCCAGCGTGAGCCGCAGCTGCATCAGGTTGTGGGTGTTGAGCTGCATCGACCTCCACGCTCCCTCGTTCACGCTCCCGTCCGTCTCGCCGCGCACGTACCGGATCTGCCGCGCCACCTCGCTCTCCATCAGCGGCCGCCGCCGCGCATGCGTCAGCTGTTCATCGCATCGCATTGCACACACGATCATCTTCCGATTGAGAAGGACAGGAAGCGATCCGTACGTACGTAACTGGTAGGTGGGATCAAGAATGCAGGGGTGGGTCATCCGGATGGGCACGTTCTCGATGTCCCACTGCATCATGGTGCTGCCATTGTCGCCGGCGGAGGTGATGGCCCTGCGCCACCGGAGGTACCGGCCGTTGGCGCGGAGGTACCTTCCCGTGCCGCTGCGGATGACGAAGGTGGTCCGCCGCGGGATGGCCTGCCACAGCATCCCGGGCGGCGGAGGGGCGCCGCCGAGCCCGTCCTGCGCGGTGACCACGCCGTGGGAGGGCCCCGTGCCGGCCTGCACGCTGGTGGCCAGCAGGTACCGGCCGTAGGCGCCGCGGAGGAGCACGCAGGGCCCGCCGTCGGGCCCCGCCGCGTGGTTCACCGCCCACACGGCGTTGTGCACGCCGCGCTGCCCCGTCAGGCACACGCTCGACCCGTCGGCGTCGGCCGCCAGGTACTTGCCGCGCCGCGCGCAGCACCGCAGCCGCACGAACCGCACCCCATTGAACACGTCCATGGATGGTCGATCGCGTCGCGCCGCGCTCCGATCGGGAGGGCGACCGACCGGCCGCCTCTTCCCTTCCTTCCTTCTTCCTCCCGGCGACGGCGATCGAGCCAGGGGTGGCGAGAATTCCTCGGGCTCGTGTCGTGGGTTCCTGTTCCTCGCCGCGCGGAGCAGGGGAGGGCGAGTTCGTCAGGGCCCACCGGCCCGGCTCCTGGGGGCCCACATGTCTGTTACTAAGTCACCGTTACGCCACGTCAGAGACAGGGGTCCTCTGGCAGTTGGTCCGCACCGGGAAGGCGCGAGTATTTGAAGGCCGAGAAGTCTCGGGCCCTCCCGCATAGCTGACAAGGAGGGCCCACATCCTGACAGCGGCGGGGCGGAAACCGCCTTCCCCTCCGACGCTGGCCGCCTGGTTTGTTCGCGTTAACCCTACCTACGTACCCTACGGCGGCCGGGCGGCGAACTCACCGCCGCGCTGGAGAGATCGAGGAGCGGGCGGGGCTGGACGCGCGCCCTGACGACGGCGAGGACGAGGCGAGCGCGGCTGGCTGTGGGCCTGTGGCCCGGAGCAGAGCAGAGGAGCTAGGCGCGGTGAGGTGAGGTGATGCGAATCCATCTCCATTCCGTTCTTGCTTGCATGTTCAACTGAACGACTCCTTGTGCCTCGCAGTGTGAGATTGTCAGCATTCGTCACATGTTGGTACATGCCACCTGCAGAGTTTAAGATCAGTTATAATGCTAGAAACACTGAAACCCGAAATTCTGCAGCTATGCATCAACAAAGCCGAACCTGCAGTTCCTGATCTCTCCAGTACTTTTGAATCCTTTTACATTCAGCATACATGATTGCAAAAACAAAATCCTCTGAGAGGCTCTTCCATATGCAGATGAGCTAGTGTTCTGTGCCTTGTCGAAACAACATGTGTGCAGATTGGAAATGCTTCTGCTGATTCAGACAGATCAGCGACGTGTTGAGGTATATGGAGATGAATGTCCTTGATGAAGTTTAGAGATTTACTTACAATAGAATTTACTTGTTCACAATCTTCGCATACATTCCCTCATTCTGCATCAGTGGGTTCACTGTTATACACACACACACACACACACACACACACACAATTTCATCAGTATCATCATATCTGACCATAGTTGAAACATGATCTGTTAGGCTTGTACTGCTGCATCATTTACCACAAAGGAGGCGGCAAGCCATGCTTATTAAAAAAAACGTTCCTTAAAGACAACCATCATATTAGGATTTTAGGATGCTGAATTACAGATACTGATGTTCACTTCTGCTCTAGTTGTCCTGTTACCACCATTGCTGCCACAAGCGTCTTTGGTTGGTTCAAGCATCAGCAGAGAAAAGGTGTGTAGTGTGTCCATTGAGAACTGATTAGGAAGGAATCACATTGCCTCGTATCATATGGGCCAACTCTTCAACATTTTTCTACCTGCCCTCCAACATTACCAACACTGCGATCAGATATGCATCTTCTACGGAATGCAGCCAGCATTTCTACTTAGGATGCACGATTTATCCTGTGAAATCAGTTAGCAGTGGTTTATCAGAGTGTTTTATATACTTACATTGGTGTAAATATACACTGGCACTTGTTAATGCTTCGGGCATGACGAGAACATACAATCATCCCTCTCATTCTTTTGACAAATAACACTCTGTTTATTATTCAGACAAACAAACGAGTGACCGGTGGCCTGGAAAGGTGAAAACCAACCTCTTCTGAGATGATTTTGATCAAAGCTCTATTGTTTGGTGGCTAATTATGTCAAAACTCACAAAGCTTGGCTGGTTAGCCGTTTGCAAACTCCACGGAATAGATAGGATTAGTCATATTCAGGGAGTCCTGCAGCTTCACTAGTCTAGCTGTACAGTATTTGCTTCTTGCCTACATGGCCTCCTCAAGCACTACCAACAAATATGCTATATTGTTTGCATCCCTCATGCAAATGGCACTGGAGTGATGAAAACCATGTAATCAATACAAGCAAAGCCTTATTTGCACTCCACTCATCAGCCCGTACTAGCAGGAGCAGCATGCTCTTCCTGATGTTGCCTTGGCATGATTGTTCTTCAGTTGCTGCAGGTGCAGGCATGCAGATGATTACTTTGGAGACTCCGTAAAAGGTTAATGCAGAAAGCATCATTTAGTGGCGACATGATAACTTGTAAGTAGATTCCCTTTATGTTCATACAGCTTTTTTTATGATACAAAGCTTATGGTCTATGTGCTCAACAAAAAGAGTTAAGTTTGGCTCTGTAATGAAATGGAAGGTGCTTATTTGTTTCAGGGAAGAAGAAAATTGCTGTGTAACTACAGGTACCTTGTGAATTGAACTACCGTATCTCCATTCCTTCCTCGTAGTATTTGTATAGTCGTATGTGCTCTGTCTGAGGTTACCAGTATTCTGTTCCACAACATGCTGTCAGTTTTAGCTTGGAAATCTGAAAACGTACTTGCTGAAGTTTTGTTTACTAGCATTTGGATTTGTTTGCATATGATGAGTAGGAAACAAGAACCGTCTTCCATCTGCTCATGTGAGACCTAGCTTTAGCAGTCTAATCTACCGAGATTAAGTAGTATAAGACAGCAGTTAGGGGAGGCTCTCTAAAAAAGAATTGAAATGGTCAAGGATTGTGGGTTCCTTGGAGGGAGTTCTTGGTGTTGAAAAGGTATGTTGGGATATGCAATGCATTTAGCCGCTCAACGCGTCCTAAATCCGGCGCCGCGGTTCGTCACCCATATTCTGCCCAATTTACATAGATAATTTAACGAGGCGAGAACAAGCTTCGTGTCTCGAGGACAAGCTTTAGCAAAGGATAAACACTTGTCTCTTCTGATACTAGAATATTCTTTCTTTGTCAATGGAACACTTCAACCAAACTTTGGCACCTGCCATGGCACTATATTTCTAGTGTAAGAGGAGTATTTGCTAAACAAATGCCGGTGAAATTACACAGTCCTCGGTAATCCGCCAGATAGAATTTATTAAACCTAATTAATCCGACATTAGCACATGTTTACTGTAGCATCACATTGTCAAATCATGAACTAATTAGGCTTAAAAAAATCGTCTCGCAAAGTAGTCGCAATCTGTGCAATTAGTTATTTTTTAGTCTATATTTAATACTCCATGCATGTGTCAAACATCCGATGTGATAGAGACTAAATTTTAGGGGAGAAACTAAACGAGTCCTTGTTTATCCAACTGCCATGCACAGTTACTTTGGTTTGGAACATTGGACAAGTGTATCATCATAGATGTATATCTGGTAACATTAACACCCAGATATTGATTTGCAGAGAACATTTCAAGAACAAGCTGCAGTAAAGGATAGATATATAGATAGATAGATAAATTTGTTGACTCCAAGCCAAAGCCAAGCCATCGGCTGTGGGCATGAAACCAGCTGAACCAAGATCCTCACCACAAAGGAAGAAATGTTGGCTCTAATCATGCTCCCATGTCAAGCTATGAACAGCCTTAAGACGACAGTGACATGCCCAAAAATGAAAAATGGAAGAGAACAGGAAAAAACAAAACCCGAGCAAGTGTGATAAAACCCTGCTATTCACATGGATCACATTATCATAATTCAGCATCTGACTATACTTAGTTACTTCTATGACTCAAGAACACTACTATGCAGTTAGCAGCTAAACCACCATGGCTTTGTGGAAACATTTTCACTCATCGTCATCAATAGAAGACGGTGGATCCCGCCGTCACTGGTGAGTGGGCCCACCCCGTCGGCCGGCGACCAGAGGCTGTCAGTGCAGCCTCTGCCGCTTGGCGATGAAGCCCGGCGAGCAGCTGGCGGCGGGCAGCATGGGCGTCAGCGGGAGCATGGACATCGGCCGCTTCATGCAGGCGCTGGAGGCCAGCGTGACGGCGTCGGAGCCGGCGGCGGCCACGGGGGCGCCGACGTACCCGGCGCGGGCGGCGCCGAGAGGGAGCGTGTCTGGGGCGCGCACTGTGGGCGGGTTGCGCCACCGCGGGAGTTGCCCGGCGACGAGCAGGTTCTGAAGCAGAGGCCCCGCCTCCATGACGGCGGCCAGCAGGCGGCCCTTGTGCGGCAGGGGCCTCTTGCTGGCGAGCATGTCAAGCACGGCGTCGGCCGCCGACCCGACGCCGACGCCGCCGCCTCCGGGCTGGCACTGCCGTTTGGGCGCCACCGCCGATGACGCCGCCGGGGGAGTGGCGGGGCTGAGCTTGCCGCGCCTGTCGGCGGAGGTGACGGGGTCGAAGAAGGGGTCGACGGGGGACGAGACGAGGCTGCAGTCGGAGTCGGTGAAGCTGGAAGTGACGAGCGGCGGCGCGGGTGCCGCCGCAGCAGCTGCCGCCGCCTGGGCGGCCAGGAGGCGGAGACTCTGCATCTGGTCCCGCGCGTCGTCGCGCTCCTTGGCCACCTCGCGGACCAGCTCGGCCAGCTTGGCGATGCTCTGCTCCTTGCGCTTCAGCTCCTCCCTCGCCGCCTCCAGCTCCATCGTCGTCGCCAGCAGCGTCTGCTTCAGCTCCGCCACGCTCTGCTCCACCACCATTAAACGATTCAACAAGGTCAGTTCTTTCTCCCTTTTTGTACTTGCACAAGCAGTTTGCGGCATAGAAAAAATCGAAATTGGAACAAATTAAAACGAAAATATGAAATCCATAAGCAAATCTATCTCCGTGGCTTGGAGATTGCAAGAGAGAGACGTCGCGGAACACAAGGTGATGGGTGGACAGAGACATGGCAGGGCACGATCTAGAGAGCGAATGATTTGGATTCCTGCAAATGATTGCACCATACAACCACCTACTCAAGTCCGTTGGAGACTTGGGAGCACAAATCCACCCTCTTCTCCCCCAAAAAAACCAAAACTACTTAAAAAAAACAAAACTTTTTCTTAGATAAAAAACAAATAGGCATAGGCATGCATCAATCAAAAAGGAGGAGGAAAAAGAAAAAGAAAAGCGTCTGAAATCAGAGTCACACGCAGGGGCCCAAGGCAGAACAACACCATCATTGAACAGCATCTCGCCACAGTGCCCAGACTTTTCTTTCCTTCTTTTCTTTTGGTTGAAAAAAAATAATAAAACAAGTGTGAACCAACCAACCCGAAGCAGACGGAAAGAGAAGTTTGGGAAGGAGGATGTCAGGAGCCAGGAGGGAGTGTGATTTTTCCACGAGGCGAGCCGAACATGCAGGACCATGACAGAGAGAGATTAGGGAGGGGAGGAGAAGAATTCCACCACGGTAAACAAGTGTCAAGGCGTGTTTGGATGGAGCCGGAGCACCCCGCCGCCCTAATTCGCCGCCCGCCTGCCTAACCCCCCTTGACCACGGTAGCTAGTGGTAGTAAATGTGACGCTGGCGGTGCAAGGAGGTGAGGAGATCCCCTGCGGCGGCCATGCCCCACCGACATCGACCCATCGTCCCATGGCGGCCGCCGGCCACCGGCCAAGAAGAAGAACAGGGAAATGCGGCGGCGGCACAAGGAGTAATCTAGAGAGGGATTGATGGCTGGCTAAAGAAAAAAAGAAGAAGAAAGAGTACCTCTTGCGGGGGCTGCTGCAGATCGTCGGGGAAGGAGGACCAGAGGGAGGAGAAGAGGGCGGCGTCCGGGCCGTCGCCGAGGATGAGAGGAAGTTCCATGGCCATCGCGCGCACGCTTGATCGCTGCTGCTGCTGGTGGCGTCCGTATGCGGCCTGCAGGAAGAGGAAGGGGGGAGCAGAGTCGAGGGCGAGAGAGAGATATATATACATGTATAGCAAGTGTTGGAAAGGGAGGAGGAAATTAGGGGGTTAATTATATGGGATGTTCGCCGACCTATCATCTCTTGCCATCTGCTAGCTATGCTCCCCCCAATTTTTAATTTTTGCATTTGCCTTCTTTTCTCTGGAGTGGGGCCAACCACTTCTGTGTCTCTTGTAGTCTTGTGTCGTAGTACTCCTTCCTAACCTTGGACAAAGTTTTATTGTTTTCTTCTTTTCTCCGTTCACTAGGTAGCCTGCCTTGCGTTGGTATAGGATAATTAAACTTTTGTACTAAAAATACACGAATCGTATGATAAGATAATAATACTGTGAAATTAAATACTGATGTTAAAGTGACATTTAATCCAAAATACAAAGTTCGAGAAATTAACATAGTCACGGAGAGCGTGGCGTCGCAGGCTCACCAACTCCACTGTAAAATTCCGTAGTATGCATAGAAAAAAAACCACACTGCAATACCATTAAACATTAGGCCATTATCATCACTGTAGACTGTAGAGGCACTTTGTTGTGCTTCTCACAGCACAAGCAAACTAACTGGTGCCAAGTGGCCACCATTTTCACAAATGAGAATGGTACATTTAACAGGAAACAGATAATACCTTGTTAACAAGATTCTCAAACGCTTTTGATCCATTTTGCTCAATGTATCTCTGTGCAGCTAAAATTACATCATCATACCTACTTGATTCATCCTTCATTGGAATATATCAGAAGCACACAAATTTGCTGATTTACAATCATTGGCCTCACAAAAATGCTCATATACATGTGCACCTCTATTAAACCATGGCAATACTAACCAACAATTAAGAAACGGTTTTGCGTAAGACCAGAAAGGGAGCCTGCAAAGTGCAAAAGTTATGCATGTGATGAGCATTTCCATTTATCTCATGATGTATCCAAAAAACTTATCAGCCAAATCATGAGAGAGCACTATAGTAGTGAACGATGAAGTGCAGTCAATAGCAAAGAAATCAAGATAAGATGGAATGTGCACATAAACTAAAGCTATGATGAAATGTGCACTTGTGTAGAAAATTTGTTGTTTTTACCATTTGAGTACTGGAGCAAAGGTGAGCACGAATAGAGTGATAAATGAGTACAGCACCCAGTACGTGAGCCATTGCTAATCATCCACAGTAGATTTTTTTATTGCTTTAACAGAGGCATACCTGTGGAAAACGTCCAATAAGGTAAAACATAAACAATAACCATCAAATAGAAGACAATTAGCGTCTATATGTTTATCTAAAAGTTTATAGGATCAACTTACAAATGATACGCAAGTGAAACTACGGGCCTGCAAAGACAAACAAATAGAGGATTAAAAATTCTTCAAATTGCAGCTAAACATTCAGTGATGTTCAAAAACCATAACTGCACCTAATTTTTACTTGAGTGACAGAAAGTGTCACAAGTAGAAGCTATCACATTTAGCAACCAATGGTTAGCCATATTAGCTGGATATCATGTGCTTATGTTGAGGTACATTTTTTTTCTTGGACGTAAAAATCAGCACCCGTAACCATGACAATTTAAAAAAAACATTAAGGGTCTATCATAATCATCACTGTTGTAAGGGCTGAGCAAACTGACCCAATAAAACTATTTTACCAACATTGTCCTATTCTATCCCCCGAAGGCAACATCCATCAGGCAAGTAAATAATAGACAGGTAACCAAAGAAACTAATTAGCTGGTATCATTGATACAGTGACCAATCTAGCTTGAAACATCCATCATGCAAGTAAATAATCAGACATATTATAATTGAAACATTATGTCAAAAGGTAACCGGAAAACAATCAGCCTAGAAGAAAGATTAAATGATATAAATTTATGAATAGAAGAGGAAAAATGAGAAACTAAATTAGTAAACATGGTGTGTTGTTTACTCTCAGGCATTCCAAGAAACTAATAAGATGGAGGGCATGGAAAAAAAGGGAGAGCAAATTAACAAACTCGTTCTGGTGTCTAATATCAAGTATGCAAACATTCATAGTATGATGAAAATGAGTACTAACTTTGTCTGCCTCTCTGTGGCATGATTGGCAAGGATCCTAAAGTCTTCTTAACATTGAATAAGAAGTTATATAAGGATTTTAGGTTTGTTCAATCTGTTACCTCAATCCATGGCATCAGATTATTGAGAAGCAATTAAAATAGACACCTGTTAGAGCATTGGAAATAATTTTGCTTCACTAGTAATGAAAATAGGACACTTACTAATAGATGCTGAATCTTTAGGAGGTTGGTATGCTCGTACAAATGCACATGCACTAATTAGCTTTGGTGTCGCATCCGGGGATATTAATTTAAAATTTCATTCAACAATGCCTGAAAACATACATTTTCTTGCAGGTTCTTCTAATACCCACTTGCTATTCTAAAATTCTCCCAATTTCATTTTTTCTTCAAAACAATATCAAAATTTAATAACTTAACCTTAATCTCAAGATATGATGCATCAAATGGACTAATCAGTAATACCGAAAACCATGTGGAAAAAATAAGACATACCATTTGTACGACAGCAGCCTAACCCTCTGTCCAAGCAGTCGGATTTACCGCAGAGGTGCATAAAGAACTTTGGCAGGTACATCTTGTACCACCATCTTCCTAGGGAGCCTCCAGAATTTTTAGCAGTTACATTTCCATTGCTCTCGCCTTTTCAGACAGAGCCATGTGCAAAGGAAATATAATCAGTTATCGGCACAAAAAAGTTATAAGCCTAATTTGTTTTCATGATAATTGTACTGCTCACTGCAAATTAATGAGATTTTTTTTCAAAACATTAAAAAATGTACAACAAGAACAATAAGGACAATGACAATGTAAGTAACAGCATTAACAATGCATCCTGTGATAGTTTCATCTACTGGCATTTGCACTGAATTGAGACACATTAATAACAGCCATTAATTTGCACTGAATCACTGAATAGAGTAGATTCAGATAAGGTCATGTGAAAACAGAAGAAATGAAGGGGCTTGTGACCACCAGCATCCTCCTTCCAATGCTATGAAACAACCAGTACAACATAGCTATGAAATCGGTTCAGCACACAGTCTCATGCGTTTTGAGAGTCTCAAGAACAATCCAAGCCAATTACCTTTGCCTGAAGCTCGCAAATGGCAAAGCGTCCCTTCGCCAGCTCCTTTGTTTCCATCTTGCACCAATTCTGGAAGCAGATAGCCACCAGCTAAACCATTAAGATCACATAATACTGTATTCAGATATCAGATCCAACTAACCCCTAAGCACAGTGCAATAACAACTCGATGTGGATTGTTTAGATCGATACACCTGTTCATATACATCAAGTTCAAGAGATCATGGCTAAACCAGCACACATGTTCATAAATCAATCTGTCGAGTTCCAACTATTAAGGATAAATAACAAACCAGGAGATTCCGTCAAGTGAAGGAGGGATGAAAATAATACCTTTGGAGGAGGTTCAGTGGAGGGATCAACAAGAGAAGGCATCTCAGATCAAGGTGCCAGTGAGCAGATCCACGCTGGATGGAGCCCTGCTGGACGAACAGCGGCTTGGGGGCGGGGCACGGTCGGGGTGGGGCGTGGCGGCTGCGGACGCGGCAGTCCGTGCGCGCCCACGGTGGCGGACGGCGAGGCTGCGGGTGCCAGCGCGGCGGTTCACCATGTCCGGCGGAGAAACAGCAAGAGGCGGTTGGTTCAGAGCTGGAGAGGGATCCATGGCCTCCTCGACGCGTCCATTGGCGGCGGCTTTGGTGTCGCATCCGGGGATGCATGCCTGTGGCGGGCGCGGGCGGGCACGAGCGCAGGGTGGGGCGCGATGGGGGCGCGGCGGCGGCCCGGCCAGATTCACGGGAGCGGGTTTTGTTTCCTTGCAGCGACGTTTCTTTCCTGTAAGGGAGACGGGATCACAGGCATAGGCAGACGGACGAACCAAAACAAATGTCGCACAAAAAAATATCCACGCTTCATTCTTTTTAGTTCTAGGAGATTCATGGCACTATCTAGCTTTTTGGCCAATTTTGCATATGGTCAGGTACTCAGGTAGGGTATAATTTCCCTATTGTAACAAACCAATACACAGGGTCCCTTTTTTTTTATAATACTCTATCTAGTGCTTTGAAAGGAAGAGTTTTTTTTTGGCAGGAGCGCAAATCACCTGCAACGCTGCATGCACACTTTAAAAGCAGAAGAAAGTTGGACCACACACTTGAACTACGTATTTGTGAGCAGTATATATAATTAATTACTCCCTCCACTAATGAACTCATCCATCACCCAGCCAGCCATCTTCCCTCCAAAGTTTGTAATTTGAAAAATGATCTAGCAGTAGATTCAAATGTTAATTTGACCGGGTTAATTACTACACGCCCACCACCATCATTAGGCAACGACTTGGGTTTCTCTGCTGGAATGCAAGCATGCATCCTCCGCTCCTTCCCATCTACTCTAGGAGCCTCCCCTCCCGTCTACAATTAAATGCCTGGCTGTGGTTGGCAGGTGTAATTCTCTGGTGTTTCCTTTAGCTGTAGTCTTGCTTAGTATTTCAATTTTCAAATGCTAATTGGGTTAGCTTAGCGCTGGTTGATTCCATGTGTGCCCTGTTTTCCTTCGGTCACTACTGGACTCGCATGCTCTGGCCCTCGGCAAAGGACCAGAAACCCTCGGCAAAGGCTTTGCTGAGGGCTGCCCTCGGCAAAGACCCCTCGGGGAATTTTTAGACGGCGAAGGGGTCTTTGCCGAGGGCCCTTTATCGGACACTCGGCAAAGCCTTTGCCGAGGGCCAGGACGGCCCTCGGCAAAGAAAAGAACCCGTCACGCGCCGGCGCCGTTGGCGGTTTCTTTGCCGAGGGCCGACCCTCAGCAAAGAAGTGGTTTTTTTTGA